TTTTATTCTTCACACTTCCAATATTTGGCTGTGTCAACACTTAAATGATGAAAAACATCTTTTAAATTTCTCTATAAATAGGTAGCTACAGCTGTCTTATTTCAGACATTCTGTGGGAAAAAGCTGATGGAAAATACACAGAATTTACCAGAAGGCAACAAACTGAGACATTGATCTTTCTGAAGATGTAGCTGATCACATACAGGGTCGTCACGAGCGTGAGCTGCAGAGCATCGTTGACAACCATGCAGATAAACATGATGTACCGGGAGTTCTCGTAGAAGAGACTAGGGTCAAGAGAAATAAGCTGAGAGAGAAATGGACACTTATATGTTCACGTTAGAGAGAGCAGATAAGTCAGCAGCTGATGCAAATTACTGATATGATAAAGACTGTCCTGTTATGAATTTTCCAAGTAATAATGTGTTTATTTAACAAAAAAATTAATATATTATATTAATTTGTACACATTCATTCATAGCTATGTCTTTATCTGTGGTTAAATGTCACATTATATGACAGATCATTTTTGTCAGAATTCTGTTTCTAATCAAAAATTCTCAAATTTGAAAGAAACAGCCATACCTGTGTCGTAAAAAGGTGTGCACCATGCTGCTGTTGATGATGCTGAGGACCAGCCACACCATCACAGCCACTATGTTTTTAGTCAGAGCATTCGAGAAGCTTTCTTTAGGCAGGGCCACATCACTCCCTGTCTGCATAGAGCTGTTATTACTCATAAGAAGAGCCATGTGTTTGGAGGAGGAGGAATTGTTTTTTTAATTACTCCTCCTTACTGTCTAAGGAAGGAGAAAGGTAAATTTATGTTTAGATTTTGAAATCAAGTTCCATTTAAAAAAAGATTAAAAATTATGGTTGGGAAGATTCCCGGCATGTCACAGGGAACATTTTGTAGTAACAGTTAGAAAATCAGTTTGACAAAACATTTTCTTAACTAAACCTCCTATAAACATATTGATAATATACTTATAAGCAAACAGGTAAGATTTATTATAAAATAGATCATGCTCATACACATACCTTATGGAGAGGCTTCTAAAACTCATGTTTTAGACTCTGGAAAGGAGCTGTAATAGAAAACAAATATATCTCAATATGTTACTGTTGTAAAAATATGATATATATAAACAAAATTAGCATAAAATTCTGATTCATTTTTATCATTCTTAGCCAAACACAATCATTTCTGTTCTTAAATAATCTTGAAGATGTGGATAAATGCAGTTAAACTTATGAGATTGGTATTCAAGAGCTTCTACATTCAATAACAAACAGTGTTATATACTCACATCTATAAACCGAAGACTGAAATCTCACTTTGTGAGATTGTGAGATACATGTTCTTTCCTATTTATAAGAAGTCTGATAGTGCTTTTATCCATGAGTCACTATTACTGAGTTATAGGGATAGGCTGAAGGCTATGATGTAACAGATTAGATAGTTTCCTCTAATAAGCATATGCAAACAGTGTGCTTTGTAATCCTCCTATAAATCTGGAATAATGATTTTGTTGCAGTTTTGCAGAATTTTATTAATATATTTTGAATATCCTTCAGCACATTTATTCCTTTTTTATAAGTCTATGAGAAGGAATGTTTTGGGAAGCAGTCAAAGCAATCTAGACCTTCACCAGAATGTTATATTTAACATGAGAGAAGCCAAATATTTTTTAACTGTTTATTAGGTTTTGTTGTTGATTTACGACTTTTTACTCTCACTTTCAAGATGACAAAAATTTAAAGTATAGGGCTTTATAAGATAAAGAGAGAAAGGCTTATCTAGAAAGGTAATGTGTGTAAATCAGTTTTGTTTGTCCTGTTAAATGGCCTTTAAAGCACTATTTAGACTTATAAAGCACAAAGTTTTTATTGTCTAAAGGGTTGGCTGATTGAGTGATTAATTTAACTTTAGTAAATAATTCAGTTTGTCTATTTGATAATGCATTGTATTAATAGTTATTAATATGAAATTATAGAATTTTTATTGCAAACTATAATTTATAATTCATCATTAGTTAAAAGTCTTAAGCTGATCTGAAATGCTGCAGCCAGAACTCTTATGAAAATTAAAAACAGAGATCATATCTCTCCTATCCTGGCTTCTTTTCATTGGCTTCCTGTTAAACCCAGAAAAGAATTTAAAATCCTCCTTCTCACACATAAACCCTTAAATGGCCAAGCTCCATCTTATATCAGAGATCTGATTGTTCCTTATGTTCCTAACAGAGCACTTCACTCTCAATTTGCATATTTACTAGTTTAGAATTTCTAAAAGTAGAATGGGAGGCAGATCTTTTAGTTATCAGGCTCCTCTCCTGTGGAACCAACTACCAGTTTTAGTCTGTGAGACAGACACTCCGTCTACTTTTAAGGGTAGACGGAGTGTCTGTCTCACGTTCCATTTTTATAAATCTTATAGTTAAAAACAGTTATGTACGCTTAGTCGCTCTGTAAGTAGAGAGGTAGGTGGAGATTAACAGCCCGATCCGGCGGCGGAGAACTTCAGTCCAGATAGGCCTTTCTTTTTGGCTCTGCCTTGGCCACACTGTGGCTCTACGTTTCTTAAACCTCATCCAAAATACTTAGGTTATCCCGAGCTATTTTCTCCATTTGTGGTGCTATAGGCATAGACTGCTGGAGGACATAGCAACCCCTCTTCATCACGATATATCTATTCTCCTATTCTGCAGTACTTGTTAGTTAAATATCTAACGTTATGCTCTCTCTGCCTTTTGTCATCATAGTTGCTTCATCTGGTCTGTTCCTGTTTGGCTGTGACAACACACCATCCTGGAAAGAAATATCAGCTGCGCTGCTGCGTGCCATCAACACCTTTTACAGATTTTCGAGCTTAGCATGTTCCTCAGTGTAGTCCTGTTTCTCTTACTGTGACTAACGGTATGTGTTCTCTTTCATCCTCTGAAAATAGAGTTGGCTGGAGCTCGTCTGCCTGGCTGTGTGTTTCCTGGACGGAGCCACCTGTGGCACTTGTTGATAGTTGCCTGTGTATTTCTGCTTTATTTTCTTTGTCTGCTTTTGTCTCTTTGACAGAAGCAGACAGCGTTGGCAGATGGCCGCTCACACTGAGCCTGGTCCTGCCGGAGGTTTCTTCCTGTTAAAAGGAGGTTTTCCGTGCCAATGTTGCAACAAGGATGCTTGGAGTGAGGGATTGCTGTCAAGTCAATAAGTCAATGCAATTATTTGGTTTTCCCTTAGTTGGAAAACTTTGAACCAATCTGACTGTATCCAGGCAGGAACAGTACAGGAATCCAGGAGTTCTCAATTTGATCAGAGGTTCCAATCCAAGCAGGAAGAGAGGGATCTAGGCTTCCAGGAATCCACAGAGCATGAAGGCAGGTTCAGATGCAGACGGGTCCAGAAGTGTGCCCAGCAGACAGGTACAGATGAAGACCGGCAGGCTCAGTGGTTGAGGGAAGCTGAGACAAGACGTGGTACCAGGGTTTCAGCAGGACTTGGTCTCCTCCTACGAGCTAGACTTATGGAAATAAAACGGACTCTCTAGACGTTCGGAGCCAAAACCCTGAGGGCTCTGCGGAGAAGGATCAGGAAACGATCAAAAGACGGGACAAATACCAATACCCTCTTACTCCACTGGCGGTCGGGAACCAGGATATGAACCACAGAATAAACTGAATATAAAGGAACTGACACAGGTAGATTAGATGAGCGCTAATAAGAAAACCGGGCAGAGTTAGGCAAGTCAGTGAAAAGAATATTTAAGATGAGCTATCAGGGCAGATCATAACACTTGAAGGTTTAGTGGAGGATGCTCTTTTTCTGGGTAGATCATCAAAATAAGTGGTCCTAATTGTCAATCATTCTGGTGATATGTTTATGTAAAGCCGTCCTACATGCTCGTCCACATTTTCACTTACCAGTGGTGAGTCTGACATAGTGGAAAAATTGAAAATCTTCTTTTAGAAAGTAAGCTTGTATAAGCGATGCAAACAGCAACTTTTAAACAGAGAGTGCACAATGAGAAAAGGGTTTGTGCATGCTCTTGCACACGTTTAATAAGCATTCCCTCTGTGAATTGGGTACAGGGTTGTTCATGTGCATTTTTTTTTAAGTGGAGAGGGCGGGTCAGCCAACAGTCCTTTGCTGCTAAAGACCTATTGCACTGACATCCCATATAATGAAAGGCCTAGAGAGAGTTCTGTTGGTTTACCTCAGCAAGCAAACAAGCAGCTATCAAGGCCGCCTGCAGTTTGCTTATCGCCGTGGGGTTGATGATGCCATAATATCGGTACACCTGCTACAACAAACACACTGTCACTTAGACAAGGCAGACAGCATTGTGAGGATCATGTTCTTTGATTACCCCCAGCCTCTATCCCCAAGTGGCTCCTTCAGATCCAGTGGAAGAAAAACCACTACAGAAGATCCTTCCTGCCTACAGCTATCAACACCTGCAACAACTGTTTAGAAAAATAACTTATCAGTTCCTGTACCATTTAATTTTTGAGTTAATAAAATATCTTTGAATAGAATATAATTGAATTGATGAAGTCACATTTTAGCTTAATGGCGATCTGTACAGTAACAGTACAGTGGTAAGTTCAGTGATGTCATAGCAAAAAAATGTCTAGCTACATACAAACCTACGTAACTATAAATAACAATTTTTAAGGGAAAAATAAAGCTGGAGACCTTTAGTTCATGGACGATAATGAATAACATACTTATGTTTAATATATTACACTTCTGAAAAATCCCTGAAATTATTGCACACTGAAGCTTTAGTATCTGGATTTTAATATATATATATTTATATATATATATGTGTGTGTGTGTGTGTGTGTGTGTGTATAATACAATAGACAAGTGTCTTGTAAACATATAAGAACTTGTTATCAGGAAGTAAACAAACAAAACAATCAATAATAATATCCTTTAATTTTAATTAAACTTTATTTTCTTAGGAAGCACAAATACAAAAACAAAAGAAAAAATTATTTTCACAATCTTTCCTTGTTAAGTGGGGCCACTGGCTTTACAGTGTACTTACAGCGGCATCTCAGCAAAGTCTTCTTGAAATATTTCCTAAACTTCTTGTCTCTCGCACCATAGATTATTGGGCTCAGGAACCGAGGCAGAATATAAACAAGTAGGTAGTTTGCGTATCTGATTTCAAGAATTCGACCAGGAAACATGATGAGTAGAACAATCTCCACACTTGGAGATATGTAGGAGAGCAGGCACATGGCCAGCTGGACACCATGAAGGAGTATAGTGTTTCTGGCTTTCTTGGCTGAAGTGTTAGCTGATGAGAGGCCCCGAGCTGCAAACATGACCTTCAAGTAGGTAACAACCAGGGTAAGAAACACACAGGAGAAATAAATTATATCAAAAGCTTTCCGCTTCTGTGCCAGGATCGGGTCTTTGAACACATTCTGACGTATACAGAACACAGACTCATGAAAGAAACTTAATGGTTCAGTTGCTAGGGTCACAAACAGATCTGTTATATCTGGGGCAACACATATAAACCAAATCATTCCAATAACAGTGTAGGTCCTCCTCACAGTGCAGAGTTGAGTATAATGCAAAGGCTTGCAAATGGACAAGTAGCGCTCTATGGCCATTGCAGCCAAATTTACTGGGGTGTTTCTGGTGGTGAAGACTGCCACCAGGATAAAGAAGCAGCAAAACGAGACATTGATCTTGTATATTATGTAGCTAAGGATTAATAGTGTGATAGTCACAGTCAGTTGAATGCCATCATTGATTACCATGTGGATAAAGAGGATATAACGAGGGTCTTCATAGAAGATCTGTTGGAAGACACACAACAATAAAGCTGCTGAAATTAACAGTCATGCATAGAGATATGACGTTAGATGGTAGCAACAAAACCGGCTGAATTAAACTTGATTTCATGACATATGATGTTAGTAAAGAGATTAGGAATATCTATCACAATCTATAGTCCTTGAAACCCAAAACATCTATTTCAATATTTGTTTAAACCCTAAAATTATACTTTGCAAATGCTTTCAGGTCTTCTTACTCTGACGCACCTTTTCCTTATTTTACAAAGAAACTAGTTTCATACTAGAAACTAGTTGGAATTATAATATGAAAGAAAGATGCCCCACTAAATCTACAGCCAGAAAAACAATAAAGTGATTTAAATCAGATCATCTTCATGGCTTAATCTGGTTAATATCAGGAGCTTAATACAATTAAGAATTTTTTTAATGACCTTGAGTATGGAAAATAAGTATTTGAAGACCCTGCTATATTGCAAGCTCTCCCACTAAGAAATCATGTAGGGGTCTGAAATTGTCATGATAGGTGCATGTCTACTGACATAATCAGAAAACAACAAAAAAAGAAAGTCCAGAAAACGCCTTCCAGCTTTCATGAACAGTAGCAGAAAACCGCAAAGAGGCGACCGGGCCAGAGGGTGCTGTTGAACGGGATTCCCAGTGACAACGCACAGCTGGTGTACAGGGGTCTCAGCGGCTCAGACAGTGAAATAATATTTGAAGGCAGGATCATAATCTTGATGAACTGGCAGAGTTTTCAGGTGGACTTTCTCACTTAAAAACTACTTTTTAACCCACTGATCACAGCAAATACAGCTGCCATTGTTACAGGCAAAGAAAGGATAGGGTAGCTTTGCCCAACGCACATCAGACCCACTTTTTGACCGCGCAGCTAGAGCAGCAAAGATGCTTCAGGTGTGCTGCAGAACTAAACTTGTACAAGCATAAAAAATAAATCAGCACGCGCATTTTTGTTGCTTCTGCTGCTTACGGTCTGAACGTAGCATTAGAAGCATATATAGGTTCTGATGTGGCCTCGCCAGTCTCCAGACCTAAAGCCAAGAGATCATCTTTGGAGGGAACTCAAACTCTGTGTTTCTCAGCAACAGCCGAGAAACCTGACTGATCCAGAGAAGATCTGTAAGGAGGACTGGGCCAAATTCCCTCCTGCAGTCTGTGAAAACCTGGTGAAAAACTACAGGAAACATTTGACCTCTATATTTGGGAACAAAGGCTACTGTACCAAACATTGATTTTCTCAGGTGTTCAATTAGTTATTTGCTGCTGTATCATAAAAATAAATAGGTAAAAAAATCATAAATTGTGATTTCTGATTT